AGACAAATGATAGCATTCAGAAATAATATGACCTTTCTTATGACAATATTTGCACACCACATTTCTATATCTGGACTTTGACCTTGATTTAGACCTCTCACTACTTGATTCTTTCTTATTAGATCTACCTCTTACAAATAACCTTTCCCATGGGTTACACTACTTTCTCCAGTAACATCTCTATCTATCTGTTCTTTTGATTTTAAGATAGAATTCATTTCCCTGTAAGAGATATTATCCTTTCCATAAAGTATAGTATCTCTAATATGCTTAAATGATTGGGGTAAGGAAATAAGTAATAAGACGGTTTGATCCTCATCATAAACTTTAGCATCAATATTACTCAAATCCATAAGAATAGAATCAAATGCATCAAGATGTGAGAGTATAGAAGTACCTTCAACCATACGAAATGTGTAAAGCTTTTGCTTTAGGTATAGTATGTTTTCCACTGTCCTCTTTATATACAAGATTTTTAGTTTTTCCCACATGCCTTTGGCTGTGGATTCTGCAGATACTTCACATAAAACCTCATTTGAGAGATTTAAAATGATACCTGATTTTGCCTTTTTGTCTATGACGGCAAACTCCAGGTCCATCATATTTTCTGGCTTATTCTCCTTCCTTCTAGTGCCATATCTAGGCCATCTTGAATTAGTATAGCCTCCATCTTTAATTGTCACATCCCGAAGTTTGCACTTCGGTCAAATTTTTCAACATAAGTCTTTGTTACTGTCATTTTTTTTGGCTACTGAAATTAACCTGATTGGATCCGGCTCTTATACCAATTTGTTAGGATCGTGAACTCGGGTAGTGCAGAATTTAGCCAAACAATGTTATAATGACAATAAGAAAGACAATAGTAAGTTGATAATAACGAAAGTAAAGCAATTAAAGAAGACACAAAAATTTAACGTGGTTCAATCGATGTGACCTAATCCACAAGCGGAGAGGAGCAATTTGACTATATCAACAAGAGTACAAAAGAGAGTATAAAATTAGAGTAAATACTCTAATTAATCCCAAATATCCAAAGAGAATAACCTCACAAGATCTCTCCAAAGAAAGGGTTCACACAAGTGTTTCCTAACACAAACTCTCTTACAAAATTACTCTTAATGGAAAGACAAAGAAAGAAAACAATGAAATATTTTCATATGCTTCAAGGTGTGTTTCAACTAATGTCTAAGCTCCCTATTTATAGAGGAAAAAATAGGCTTGTTGATGTCATGGATGATGTCTTTGGAATATACAAAATATTAAACATCTCAATGTGAATATATTAAATATGGTGGCTTCCAAATCTTTGACAAATATAGTTGCCAAATCTTTGAAAAATATGGATGCCAAATTTCCACATTTGTGGCTTCCAAATCTTTCACAAAAGAAAGATAAAATAACTTTGTTCAATCAAACAAAAGGCCACATTACAAACTTCCTAATTGACAGATTCCATATAAACATGTCAGTGAACCCAAGGGCAAAACAAATCAATCTGTTAACTTAATCCACAACAAAAACATTTTCGCGGGGGTTATAATCCAAGTTATATTCCTTAGTCACAACAGAGTCATTAAGTAAGGAAGTAATAGAACATTTTGTGAAAACGAATCGATATCTATTAGCTGGTAGATACCTCATGAGTTGGGTATGTGGTGTGTGTAATCTTTTCTATCATCAGATACACTAAGATGATTCTTGATATTTTATAAATTAGGTAAGTTACATGCGCTTTGCGCAATTATGTATATTCAAGTCACCACGTACAATTATTTGTGGTTAATGATTAAAGATTGTGCGATAATATCCGTTTACCGTTTTGATTTTGTACACCAATGAAACTTTGTTGACATCCATTTCTGGATATTGGTCCAAGTAATTACAATATTTTTTTTAGCTACGTATATGAGAAATTAAAGGGATTGTAAAGGGTTAGAAAAAGATAGAGTTTATCTTTGGATGCTTATACCAAAAAAGCAAGTGGCGCAGTAAACAAAGGAAGCAAAGGGCAAAATAGTAGAGTAAACAGAGGATGTGAAGGAAACAAATCGCAATCGAAAGTGGGAAAAGATAAATGTCTTTCCTAATTTTGTGAGGGAGCCACGTAGGATGTTCTATGGAGAGAAGCACAAGGTGTGAATATACAATCTTCTTTGTACTCCTGAACCTTCTACTCAACTAGAAGTTCATTGTGCATCTGGAGACGACGATCTTGAATATCATTTCCCTGAAGTGCGAAAGTATTTGGATTGGCAATTTAAAGTGTGGGGGTAACACTTCATTCTTTTGTCACTTTTGGTGGGATGATAAAGAAAATGTATTCGATGTATTTAACAATTCAATCCAATCTATTGTATTGACGAAGCAATTGATTTTGTTCCAGAATATACTACCCAATGCAAATGGAAAGTGGAGCCTGACGGTATCTATTTTGAATAACAAATCATGACACCAACAAGATAATAATAACTTTTAACATGTAACACAAAAAATGTCTAGAAAGTCTCGCCAAAGTCCAATGTGAGTACTCATTTTAATTATCGTGTTTTAACTTCTACTAGTGAGGACTCTTTCATTACATTTTTAAATAAAGATCAATGATTAACCGAATAGTACCAATATGATTCGAATATTTTTGAAAATTCTAATATTAGTTATAATGTTTACAGAGTTTCACCAAACTCCAATATGACTTATAGCCTTATCACGTTCTAACTTCCAGAAGTGACGACTCCTATTTAATGTTTTTTAAGAAATATCAAAATTTTACCAAACTATACATCTCTAAATGGACTTAAGCAAGAAAAGAGCTTCAAATTCCATCAGAGATGTACTAAGCTGGCAATCACTCACTTATATAAAAGAAATTTATCGCAATAATCTCAAGATACAGCATACAACAGATATTCAAAGGAAGGATAAACTTATTCAACCCTTTGTTACAACAATCTCAAGATACTACATATAACAGATATTCAAGGGAAGGAGAAGCTTTTTTCAACTTTTATCGCAGCGACAACATAGGTAGCAAACATGAAGAATAGGGAAGCATCATCTTGATTCTTGCAGATCGGCAGAGGATGGAATAATAGCTCTTCAACATCAACTTTCCACCTCCTGAAATATCAAAAGTACATAACAGTTAACAAAGCACCTGAGTGATATTTCACATGATGACTAGTAAAAACAGTTTATATGTGACCAACAAGGAAAACCAGCAAAACCAAATAGTAACCAAGTTGCTCACACTGGGGTGCAAGTGTTCGATAAGGATGAAGATCTAGAAGTCGGATCCTTTCTGATCTAAATTTTAAGATTCGGAGGTACGGATCCAAGTATGAACATGGGTGCCAATACAAAATAAAATAACCAAAATTTGATATTGGTACAAATTTTATAAAATAACCTATTAAACTGAACTATTGACAAATAAAAAGGTGATGGTCCAGACTAATAACAGCTTGACATATCTAGCGATGATTTGTGATTATGCGAGAGAGCTGCTCTGTTAAGCCAGCCAATGATGGGTGAGTTACCCCATCTACTCACACTGCACTGTCAAAGTATTATTAGTGTTGGAATAACAATACTTCATACTATACCAGTATCACATAATCCCAAACGAACCCTCTATTTACGTTAAGGCTTGAAGCTTTGATTTTGTCCCAATCGTCTTATTGCTCCCACTTGGGTGACAAGCTCATGCTATTGAGCTCAGCGATATACAGTGTCTGTTGAGTTCTTATTAAATGTTTGTATTCGTCTTCTGCCACCGGTGTGGGACAAAACACACTAAATTCTACATTGAATGTTTTAGTATGTGCGTTGATATGCCTAGCAAGTCAAAATTGCATATGCTAAAACATACGATGTAGGATTTAGTGTGTCTTGTCCCACATCGGTGGCAGAAGAGAAATACAAACATTTAATAAGAACTCAACATACATTGTATATCCCTAAGCTCAGTAGCATGAGCTTGTGACCCAAGTGAGAGCAATAACATAGTTGGGAAAAGCCACATCTTCAGCCCTTGACACAAATAATGCATTGGTTTGGGTTTACATTAATAAGCGGCTAGTTTGATGTTGTTAAAGACCAGTTCGCGCACAATCTCAAGTCACCACTAGAGATTTCAGGTTGTTATTGGTTTGGACAATTATTTTTTTATTAGACCTTACTCTATTAACATTAATGTTCTTGTTTCCTTATTAATTAAGTTTTAATTTAAAAAGGATTATTAATGAAGGTCTTGTATCAAACAAAACAATCATATGCTTAGTGTTATTGGCGTGTTTATTACACGTCATGATTTCCATGTCCCTCGCGCTCTATATTCTAATTCTATCTAGAGGCATAACATCCCCTTAAAACAATGCTCAAAAAGAGCTAAAATGTCTATGGCATTTACTTTTGAGTGTTGAAGATACCAAACATTACAACCAAATAGTTGTCTCAAGGAAATATGCAAAAAGGAAAAAGACAAACAAGATCTCCAAGTAGATGAGATGTAAAGGTGCGCGTAGCATATGCAAAGTTTTTTTTATAATAATAAAGAAACATAAAAATATATAAGGCGGGACTCTTACAAGTCATTACCAACAACACTGTCATCCCTCTAAGCTTTTGCAGCCTTCACTCGTGCTTGATTTGTTTTGTAAAAAGGGACAAACTAGGCTTTCAATGTAGATGTTTGACGCAATACTGTGATGAAACTTAGAAACCTTTGTATATCTGACTGATTCATCCTCCGGATTGTATATCAGGTAATTTAATTTAGATAGAATCAATATTTCACCTTTGTTTGACATACATAGTGTCGTAGAAATAACATAAGGAATAACAGAAGTAAAGAAGCGTTTGTCAAAATCAGCAGGATATTTGATGGTAAAAAAAAATTTCAACGACCCAAATTCTTTCATAACCCACACATCTGCATGACTTTCCCTAAAATAAAACACAAAAAAATCATTTCCCAACACTCATACCGACGAAAAACTACCTCATTCTTGAGAGCAAGGCTTCTCCACCTTTCCCCACTTTTCATCAGCCAAATCAAAAGAAACTACGGACCAATCAACCGATGTATCTAGTCCAACAATAGTAGCGGGCCAATATAGCTTCCCGTTCAAAAACTTACCAAAAACATTTAATATCCCCTCACTCGGGCAATCATCAACACTTTTCCAAGAATCAGCTTTTAGACTATATAAGTTAACCTCACCTTGAAGTGGACTCTCAGATTTATTAATAGAGACTACCTTATAATCATCACGAAATTCATCATATCCAAAACCATATATGTGACTAGTATGAAGTCTACAATTAGGAAACTGCTTGAACTTCCTAATTGACAGATTCCACATAAACATTCCAGCTTCCTCAATTGCAAGACAAAACAATCCATTAATTGAACCGACAACCCAAACATGTGTTCCCGCGTCATTCATTGGATAATCCAAGTTACAATGCTCAATCACAGAGTCATTAAGTAATGAACTAACAAAGTAGTTCTTAAGAGTGTATTGATATCCCTTAATAGGGGGGTGCCTATAGGTCAACACAAGGCTATGTTGTGTGTAATCTTTGTTATTTTCTAAGATTTGATATTTCTTCAGATGATTCATGATAAATTCAAGGCTCGATATTAAAGAAAGCCAAGATCTCGATACACACCTGAATTTCCAAAGGGATTTCACTAGAAGCCTTAACAGGATTTCAGTGACGAATTCTGATGGCAGAGTACGGATTGAATGGACAATGATTTTGCCTTTGAAGACTTCATCTTTTTCAAAATCCATTTTGGAGTTCTGCTGTGGAGGAAACTATTTTTCCACAAATGAAGACCTAAAAAGGGGGGACAATAATATTTTGGGCCCTGAAATTCTAGTTGTTTTTCTTTTTTTTTAATTAGGAAAAATGACATTAATTATGTTTTTGTTTCTAACCAAAAAAATAGACCAAGTTTCAGCTAAGCTAATTATCTGTAACACCTCTGTATTTGAAAGAGCTAAAAATAGAAAGAACTAAATTGGAAATAGCAAAATTCTGAAAGTTTGCAAGTTATGCATAAATTATGAGTTTTGGATCAACTTAAAACGACCATAACTTTCAGTACATAATGAGTTAGGTGGCCCATAAGATATCAAATGAAAGGTCTTGGTATCCTCTTTCCAACGCCCCTGAGTTTGCCAATTTTTGAGCTCGTATGAGGGACATATACCTGTTTGAAGCCAGGCTGTCCATTTAAGATAAGTTATCCGAAAACATGAGGGGTATTTTCGTCTTTTCCTTACCTAATCAGATTAAAACCAAATTTGGTAATATTTAGGGGTCTAAACTGATTTGGTTCAATTTTCACAAATCCAATTTATGCTTAGGGTTTTGAGAGGAGTTCAAGAAGAGGAGGAAAGGAGAAAAGTTCAAGGTGTTCGTCAAGATTCTTGAATTGTGTTGCAGATTTCGCCAAGGGTTTGATCACTAAGAGGTATGTGAGTTCTCATATTGTTGGGTTCATTCACCCACACGTCAATCATGTTAGTTTCATGCAATTTCGTTCAAAAGATTGAAGGATTTGAGTTCTGGTTGAGTTTTCTTGGAATTTTCTTTAGTAATCTTGATTGTTGGGATTTTGATGAGTTCTTGAGATAAAAGTTAGTGATTTGAGGGTGGTTTTAAATAGATTATCGTGTACATATGTTGAGTATTCGATTATAAGTGATTGGGGAAGAAACCATTCGATTCTAGACGAGTTATGGTCAGAAAATGAGAAAGAAAAGTCGTCGGGATTTTCTGGGTTGGGGTTGGCGCGCCGCCCCAGCAGTGCACCATAAACACTTCTCTAAAGTTTGAGGGCTGGTGCCCTATGCCACTTAGTGCACCAGGGTTGCCTGCCTCCACCCGTTCTCCGTTGTTTAAGTTGTCTGAGTTCTTTCGTAGGGTTCCTTCACTCTCTATCAATTCTAACTACTCTAAACTACTTCTAAACATCTAGAAATTGTCCATAACATGAATCATAACCTTGAATCCATAATTCAAATTCAAGGAAAGAGTTAAGGGTCAAGTCTTCAGAGCTCCTCGAGTCATTTTAAGAAGTCTTTTACAAATCTTTTAATCTTGTTTTAAATGACTTGAGCACTAAGTTGAGGAAGAGTAGAGCTAAGTTCATTTTCTTTAAAATGATATATGGGAGCTAAGTATTCCCAAGAGCAATTGTTTTTACATTTAAGATGAGAGGAAACACTGATTTCCAAAGATTTCATGAACAGTTTTCAGTACTATCTCTTTTTAGAGTAACCTTTTGAGTAATAATCTCAAAGTTGAGGAAGAGGAAATTTTTTCTTTAAAACATAGGGCATTTCTGGCAGCGTGGGCTAGACGTTGTATCATCACATAGCTCATATTGATGGTTGTCCATTAGAGAATCTCCCAAACATAGTTTACTTTGTATTTTGCATAAAAACAAAGTTTATATTGTATTGTATAATACATTGAGTTGTTATCTACTGTTTTAAAGCTTTTCTTTATACTGCATTATTTCTATTGCTTTATACTGAAATGAGGTTTAGTTGAGTTGAGATAAGGTAAGTGTTTCTTTAGTTTCAGTTCAATCTTATGTCTTGTTTTAGATTTCATCTCGCATGCTTGTAGATTCCATGTACTGACGCCATTTGGCCTACATCTTTTATGATGCAGATACAAGTAACCAGGATCAGCATCCAGCGCTTCATTCATCCAGTCGAGTTTCAGAGTTATTTGGTAAGCCTCCTTGCTTCTGGAGGATCCCTTTATTATGTTTTATCATTTCAGTTTTGTTAGGATGATCGGGGGTCTTGTCTCGACATCCCTCATAGTATTAGAGGCTTCATAGATAGATAGATGTTAGTTCATGAGTCTTGTTCATTTTAGTTGTTATGTTAAAGACTTGAGTTGCCTCTTTGGCCAGTGAAATTTTTCCTTTAAAACATTCTGAGTTTATTACATGAGTTTATCTTTTGAGTTCTTTTAAATGTTGAGTTAGTCTTCCGCTGAGAGTATTGAGTCAGGCCAAGGGTTCACTTGAGGCCAACAATGGTTCTCAAGTGCCGGTCATGCCAAAGGTGTAGGCTCGGGGAGTGACATTATCTATTTGGTCATTAACTAATCAGGTCTATGTCTATACTTAAATCTTGACCTTGTTGTTGCTTCACTTGGAAATACTGGAAAGCTGAAATGTTAAAATTTGACTTGCCGCAAATGTCGTAAATTTTTTTGACTAAGTAATAAATCAAATGAATTGGAAATATCGAGAGGAGCTCATATCAAAGTTTCAGGACAAGTTTAGACGAGATTTGAGTTGTGTGTCCATTAAAATCCGCCATTAAAGAGTTTTGCAACTCAAATTTAAAATTCAATCTATCGCAAACGTGAAATGTTTCGAGTGGATAATATATAATCACGACATCGAGAGGAGTTAACGTGAAAATTTCAGGATTGTTTAGCAGAGATTTGAGTTGAATATCCATTAAAATCCATCATTAAAGAGCTTCGAAGCTCAAATTTGAAATTCGACCTGCCACAAACATGAATTGTTTCTAGTGGATAATATGTAATCAAAACATCTAGAGGAGCTCATATCTAAAATTTATGACGGTATAAAGAAGATTTGAATTGGTCGGGAAAAAAATCAGGTCGTGACGAAGATAAATTGTTGCATGTTATGTTATATTATGTTCGCTATACTAACATTTCTCTATAGCAGTCAAATGTATTTAATCAAACGATGACGTTAAGAGATGTTTGAGTGTATATGAAATCAAAAAGGTTCCATTGTAAAGATGAATACCCTATACAATTGACATAAAAAAACTTATCCTTTGCCCAAGATTTTCATACCTTTTTAGCCTAAATAAAGTGGACACAAACAAATATGGAAATAGAAGAACATCATTTTCTTATGAATATCAATGAGTATAAAAATACAATGACAGTTGCGTAGTACGATGGATTTATGTTCTGTTTACAGTTAAAAAAACCCTACTTTTATAGCGTTCCGACTTCTACTAGTGTTCTTAGATAATGTTTTTTTAAAAATATCTAAAATTAATCGAACTATACCAATATCCAAGAGAAACCTATATGAATGGAATGGTTTTGGAAATGTAATTCTTTGGTTATACAAAATAAAAATAACCGAAAATTGATCTTGGTACAAATTTTATAAAATAACTGATTGAACTAAACAATTGACAAATAAAAAAAAGATGGTCCAGACTAATAACAGCTTGACATATCTAGTGATGATTTGTGATTATGCGAGAGCTCTATTTATGTTAAGGGATGAAGCTTTGATTTGTCCCAATCATCTTATTGCTCCCACTTGGGTTACAAGCTCACGCTACTAAAGCTCAACGACATGTAGTGTCTGGTTGAGTTCTTATAAAAAGGATGTGATCATATTTTGCAACTGATGTGGGACAAGAGATTTAGTAGACTTAAAATCTTGAAAAATAAATGTGGGATAAGTTTTTAATTTTGGTGACTGTCGTCGAACATTTAATTGAAGGCCACATGTCCAATCTGGTATCTTTTTTATATTTTCTGGTAATTTAAAATCGTTCATTTGACTTGTTAGCGAAGGGTAGCACGAATATTGCACTTTCGATCAACGCGATAGCATAAATAATCCCAACTATTAACAGATGACATGGATGAGCCATTTCAGATGGTTCATTTGAAACATTTTTGTGGGTGCTATAATCTAAGTTGTATTCCTCAATCACAACAGAGTCATTAAGTAAGGAAGTAACATAACAGTTGTTCAAAAGTTATCAAAATCCATTACCATGTAGGTAACTGGGATCAACACATGGACCCAATACCCAGCTCGGATATTTCATAACTGTTTCATTCAAAAAGCAGGCTAGGGGATTAACGATATTATATTGGTTTCATCGCCCCCAACAGATCGAACAACAACAATGTGTGTTATCTTTGCTATCAAATAATGACATCGATGAGCCTTTTCTCAAACGGAAATGGCATAAACACTACAACAAAAATGATCTTTAATGGAAATTAATTAACGGCAATAGCTTAATTTCCACCAAAGATGTATTTTTTGCGGTAATAACAATTTTTGTATATGTCCCTAAAGTCTTTAGCGACATTAGATCTAATGACACAAAACTAATGCCAGAAATTTACCAACAAGTATACTACTGAATGATCCTTTTTCAAGTTTCTTCCCTTTTAAGCTCGAAACTCATTACAAGCTGAACAAATCAAGCACGAACATTGTCATACATTTATATGAAGGGATTTTACGCGTAGGAGAAGCATGTTCAACCTTTTGTCACGACAAGTTCAAGATATTACATTCAAATCTGTTCTAACATTTATATATGGCTTTGGGATTAAAGGCTAACTTAAGGAAATATTGAACTTACTGTGGGGAACTGCCTTTCAAGTATGTAGGAGTCGACTCTAATCCAAAATTGTCTCGGTTCATGAGAAACCTATATGATTGGAATGGATTTCGAAGTCTAATTTTTGGTCAAATAAAAAGATGATGGTCCAAACCGGTAACAGCCTGACATTTCTAGTGTTGACTCAGGAGTGTGCGTGAACTGGTCTTTGACAGCATCAAACTAGCTGTCATGTAATGTGAGACAATGAGAGCGTTGCTCTGTTAACCCAGCCGATGAGGGGTGAGTTGCCCCATCAACTCCCACTGCTTACTGCCATGTCAAAGTACTATTATTATTTATTTAATGTTGGGTATATAGCAAGAGTTAATGGAAAATAGAGGGAAGATGAAAAG